AACTGTTTCAACAAATGTCAAGTTAAATAATTTAGTGCTAAATAATGTTCAGAAGAAATATAATTCCATGAGGAATGTTTGCCCCAGGGCAGAACATTTGAAAATACTGAGGTGTATCCATTTGAACAGAACATACTGCAAACAGATTAATAAAAAAGGCTGGCTCACAAAAATTATATGCAGAAGTTACTTTCACATTTTGTGTCAGTTAACACCAATTTCTAGAAAACCCCAGGCCATGTAAAAATAGATAATGTTAATTAAAAAATGGAGAAACTCCTGGATTCTGCTCAGATTTATTTCACATGAATTCAAAACATTCTGTTTCCTGGTATTACTCCTGACACCATTTTGCTCTGCCCTAAGTAGAAGCCTGAGTCAGAAGATTTGTAGCATCACCCATATCTGCCTAGGGTTTTTGGAAGCAGATTATGCACTCAGTGTTAATCGCAAGAGCAATAACTTTATTCCTTACTCCTTGGTTTCATGAGAGTAAAATTGAAAGGCAATAGAAAATACAGAGTTAAGACTGGGCTTTCTTATCTATACAAAACTCAGTAAAAACATCAAGCTGGTGTTATTTTCTCTCACATAGTCTAACAAAGACCAAGAGATTCAGACAGCCAGTTGTATGACAGGAATTGGGTTATTGAACACTTACTTTAGTGTTAATTTACAAGAGTTAGACAAAAATAGACAAGCCAAAGTCTGATTTTTTCACCCTAAACCTTTTTTCCCATAGAAATAGAGTAAATTCCAGAATCAGCTCAAGACTGCTGAAAACTAGATTGCTCTCTTTTTGGAGCATTAGTCCCAGGGCAGCTGCCAGAATTCATACTCCACAGGTGCTGCGAGGTAAAAAGCCCTTCCCTCCTGCCACTAATCCATGCAGCCCCACTGTGCTGATGTCACGCTGCATCATTCCATGAATGGCTTTAACTTGCTAATATACTGGAAGCTGTTCCACTTTGGGGAAAGGACAACATTTCATTATTTTTTTTTCCCCCCTGGTTCTGTGAGCTGATGAAACTTACAGAGGAGTCTGGTGTACACCCAAGCCATAACAAAAATAAGAAGCAGAGAGGGTGGGAGAGGTGGAGAGCAGTAGCTACATCAGTACACAAGATGCACTGTAGGGAGTTGAAAACCCTCACTGACACCTGTGAATATTTCTAGCTGGGAGTATCTGTATAAATCTCCTAAATCCATGCAGCTGGGCTTCCTCTATGACACCTTGATGTTCAGATTGAAAAATGTATTTCCAAGTCTGCCTACTCAAGCATGGCATTGTAGCACAAATTGCCTGAGCCAATTCATAGCAAAGGTAGGAAACTTGACAATAACCTAAACAAACAGTTCCCAATTTTTGAAAAAGAGTGATTAAATGTTGATTTCAATTCTCTTGCACTGTCCTGCTTCAGACAGTACTGCAATGACAGCAGGGAGAGGAAGCAGATGTTAAATCAGTTAAGCCAGAGTTTCCGTCTTAGAGGGCTGATCCCGCCTCTTGAATTGATTTCTCTCTTTACTGATATTCAGCTGGTTTCAATAAACAAAATACTCTCTTACTGGTTACTGTTCTGGGAACCTCAACTGCTCTTGGGTCTGTTTTGAATACTAATATAAAAACTAAATTCTGATGTCACACGCCACCTGTGCTGATGCTGAGAGATGCTTTGGATGTTGTTGGTATGAAACAGCATGAAGGGTTGGCTAAGTCAAAGTGAGATATGAGTGGGCAATTTCACATCAGCAAGACACATCAGTGATTTAGAGGAAATAGAAAAGGGAGAAAAGGAGCAAATCTAATGACCTGCCTCGCTGTCTAATATGTGCCATATTTGAACCTGCAATATTGCAATTGGCATCAGTACATTACACTGTTAACATGCACACTGGAGAATGCTCCATGCAAAATAAACTGGTATCTCCTCCAGGAGAGGACTTTAAAAGTCTTGGATAGATGAGGTAATCAAAATAAAATATCCAAAGAATAAGTGAGAAGCAGGGTAGGTCACAGTAGTGACTCAACAGTCAGAGAGAGCAAACGCTTTTGATACAACTAAGTGTGGGGTGCTGGCTTGGAATATAGGCAGGGCTGTTTGGGCCCGAGTACCACAGAGTCCAGATCCAGAACTCTCTTAAGCCAAAGCGGAAGATCTGCTGCCTGTGACACATGAGTGAAGGAGAAGCAGAACTCCTACAGGATGCCACTGGGGGGACAGCTGGACAAAAGCTCCTGTGAGTGGGTGTATGTCTTCCTCCTGCATTTGTTATTTGCATGTTGAACTTACTCTGCAGTGACACTTCTGCTTGTGGTCTCTGTGGATCCGGGTATTTCATGTGGTTCCAAGCCCCAGCATTTCCTTTAGAGCCCAGGGAAAAACTTGCGATTAATCAGTTAGCCACTGATTCTGCAGTTCCCAGTCCTTGGCTAATACTGGCATGCCTTCTGCTTTGTGCACCTCTGCTACTTAGTCACTCACTTCATTCAGTCTCCCTTTCCTACTACTGGGGAAGAAAATTAGGCTTTCAGCAATTACTTCTCATATACCCGCTGTTTACTAGCTGCAAATTTACCCCAGGGCAAATCCTGCTCAGGGCCATGAGACTGACCTGTTCTTCAGCAGCTCTAAGGGTGATCTCTTTCCCCCAAAAGCCTTGAAAGCATCCACACCATACCAATCAATGAGTTAGTTTAGGACAATTCAACTGGAGAATGACAAGTAGGCTTGAAAACCATGTCAAATTTTGTTAGCTAATACTTTACTAGGCTTTCCATGGTTCTAATCCATCTTGCATGAGACATTGAATTTACTCAAAGCTGTTTCGTTTACCTCGGTCCTCACTGTTTAGGTACCTGTGTTGCAGTACTCATGGTTTAAATGAGACTTTAAAATACAAGAATTTGAAAAACACATATTGAAACAAGTCAGGTCCTGAAAGGTCCTGCTGCTGAAACTTCAGGTTGTTTTTTAAAAGACAATATTTGGTGTAAGAGATCTCAGTGTAGAACTGTAGTAATGTATAACAGGTTATGTTTAACACACAGAGGACACAAAGTTTCTCTTAGAGGAACAATGACATCAGTCAGCCTAGAGAGGCATTAATTTTGTCTGAAAACTAGGTAGCACCAACAATTTAGTACCCTGGCAAGCCCCTTACCAGGCCAAGACTCGGTTGCCCAGGAACCTCAAGCTAGTATTTGTTAACACCAATTCTGATGTTACACCATTGGAGCAGTGTCAACACTATGCAACCAGAAGGCAGCACTACAAACCCATCACACTCAATGGGACTGAATAAAATAAATTATTAATAATAAATAAATTCTTATAGGGACACAGTCAAGCAGAAGAGAGGTAACTTCCATCAGTGAAGTCCCCTACATGTCATTGTCTTATTCTTGTCAAACTAGAGACATTTTGAGTCAAGGTTTGAGCCATTATTCTCTGCAGAACAGAAAAAACACACATGGGGCATTGAAAAGGGAAACCCAGAAACATCCAAATACGAACTTTATGGCTCCAATTCATTTCACTAAAACCATCTAGGGGCCAAAGAAAAAGCAAAAACAAATTTTAAAGCCAGCCACCTGATGTTAAAGGCAGTAAATATATGTTAAATTTGTAGCCTTCTTCCTATCAAGCTCTAAGATCTGGATCCTGCAACCAAAGTTCTTGGAAAAAAAACACAAGGAAATACATCAAGTTGGTTAAGCTATTTTCCCCAGTATCTGAAAAGCACTTATATTGGTTTTGCTAGGGACAATATGCCCAAATCTAAAGGTTTTCACAGCAGGAAAGTGTCTAACAGAACAAGACTAGCAAGCTAAAAAGCTTATGTACTTTTTATGTGCTTTGTAAAATTTTCCTTTGGATTTTTTTTTTTTTTACATTGTTCTGAGGATCCATACCTTTCATTATTTCATCTTTCCCTTGCTTGGCTTGAATTGCATTCTGATCCACTTCTGTCTCAGAATTGTTTCAAGGACCTAACCTTAAGAACCTAAAGTTTCAAGCAGTGTAGTATTTTCTAACAGTGGTCTTTGCAGAAGTGGTGTTTACAGAGTACAATCTCTTTCAAGAATGGCATGATGCACTAATGACTAGAAGTAAATTAAAAAAATAATTTCCACATAGTTTGGAGAAGCATAGTTTTCATTTGCTTTATTTACTAGACAAGAAGCAGCACATTATTATAATGAATTGTATAAAAAATGAAATACATACATTCAAAGCACTCAAGCATATTCATCACTTAAAACAGAAACTAAAACTGGAGTTGTTCATGTCACTGAAGCAGCAAAAGGCCAGCACAGTGTTCAGGACACAGGCAGCAAAGTAATCTTTTGTACAGTTCTGCAAGACACATAAGTAATTCTTCAGGCACAAATTTGGCTTAGGCATTACCTTATATTTTTCAAAATGAGAACAGTAATTCATTACACAAGTTCTGCTGTGAAAGAACCAGAATTATTAAACCATGTATTTCAGCACACAAACAAAACCCACTGCTTTAAGAAAAAAGAAACACTAAAATAAAAAATAAGGATCGTGTATAAAAATAGTATGATTTTATTTTGAAATTGTTCAGTTTTTCTAATACGTTTCTGAAGTGAACTGCAACCATTATCTTGTTGAAGGAAAAGATGGGAGGCAGAAATAGTAAATCAAGTAGCGTATCTGCTTTACCCAGCCTTTCCTTTTTTCCATCAACTAAAAGGTATCACTGAACAGGGGATCACAAACCGCTATTTACTTTTTCCTTTAGTCACTGTCTGATCTAGCTTGACAGTAAAGCTATTCCAAGTTTAAAACATACTCAAAATCTACCTTTAGCCATCTTACACACTTTCAATCATGATTAAGATTATAACAGCTGTCTTATGCATTATCATCAGCCAACGTTTACTCCATTCTTTTTAGGCTTGTAACATTTTCTGAAGATACTGTAACCTCTGGAAGTTCTGAAGTGATCCAGTCTTTCTTGTGAGCACCCAAACTTCAGGGTCGATCCAGGCTGTTACTGTTTTGGCAGGATGACAGAACACTGCACTGTTGTCTGAAATACAAAGTCACAGTAGATGAATGTTTCTTCTGCCAATGCAGAGCAGAATTACGTTTAAAAATGCTACAGAGACCACATAGCTTCCATTTGGATTACAAACAGATTCAACCCTTTTGATGTGCACGGTGTCTCAAACTTTCTCCACCACCACAAAAGTTTAGAGAATGACAGGCAGGACAGACTCTACAAAAAACGACTCACCACTGCAGCTCTTTGAACCTATGCAACAGGCTTACTGGTACTGAGAACAACCATCTGTACTGGGTTTGCATGGCAAGGTTTTAGCAGCTGTCAGAAGCTGTTAGAAGCTTCCTCCATGTCTGACAGAGCCAGTGCCAGCCAGTTCCAAGATGTATGTGCCGCTGGCCAAGGCCAAGCCCATCAGCAATGGTGGCAGCACCTCTGAGGCAATGTATTTAAGAAAGGGAAAAAACTGATGCCCAAAGGCAGCCAGAGAGAAGGATGGAAACATGCGAGAGAAACAGCTCTGCAGACACTGAGCTCAGTGAAGGAAGGAGAGAAGGTGCTCCTGGTGCTGGAGCGGAGATTAGGCTCAACCCCTGGTGAAAACCATGGTGAGGGAGGTTATCCCCCTGCAGACCATGGAGGTTAATGGTTGAACAGATATTCACCTCCAGATCATGGTGGAAGGCTTGGGGGAGCAGGTGGATGTCTGAAGGAGGCTGTCAACCCATGGGGAGCATTGGAGCAGGCTCCTGGAAGGATGAGTGGACTTATGGAGACAAGAACCCATGGTGAAGCAGGTTTTCTGGTAGGACTTGTGGGGGAGTCATGCTGGAACAGTCTGTTCCTGAAGTACTGTGCCCCACAGAAGAGACTGATGCTGGAGCAGTTCATGAAGAACTGCACCTCATGGGAGGGACTCATGCCAGGGGAGTTCACAAAGGACTGTGTCCTGTGAGAGGGACCCCACCCTGAAGCAGGGGCAGAGTATGAGGAGTCCTTCCCCTGATGAGGAAGGAGCAGCAGAAACGTGTGATGAACTGAACCCAACTCCCATTCTCCAATCCTCCTGCACCACTTGGGGTGAGGAGGTAGAGAACTGGTAGTTAAGTTGGGCTCAGGAAGAAGGGAGGGCCATGGAAAGGTGTTTTAAGATTTAGTTTTCTGTCTAATTATCCTAGTCTTATCTGATTGATAATAACTAAATTAATTTCTCCAACTCAGGTCCATTTTGCCCATGACAGTAACTGGTGAGTGATGTCTCCCTGTCCTCACAGGCTATGAATGAAAAATTGTGCAGCTTCCTTTCTCCTTTAAGGCTAGCATATGGGCTTATATGCTTCACATTCACAGTAAGCTCTTCACAAACATGGTAAGAATGCTCTGAAAAGGAAGATCCTTTAAAAAAATATTTCTACGTGTTTTTTCATCAATTTTGAAGAACAGCTATCAAGAACAGAAATGTTTCTCTGAACCTGCACTGATTGGGAGTGAACGAAATACTCATGTTATGCAGGGACAGGTAAGTCTGACATCAGCCACATTCAAGGGTATGACCTGAGAAACACTTCAACTTCAGCTTTCTCAAGAGGTCCTTAGCCTACAAGGACTATAGGCCAATGTAGGACTGTAGGCCAATGAAACTACAGTTCAAGTGAAACCTTGGCAAACTTTCCCCCTCCACCTTATTTAACTAAGTGAATTCAATTGAGTCACTGAAGCACATTCACTGATTAATTGAGTTATGTTTTGATGAAGAAAATGACTCAAGAATATCTAATAGATCAGAGCTCTATATACAGAAATAATGAATGTCAGTTTCAGTTTGTGATAACTAGAAAAAATGACTGAAAAACATGAACCTTTGCACCCTTCAACTTGTTAGCTACCGAAGGCATAAAAATCCAAGTATATGAATGACAAAGTGTCCTGAAACACTTCTAGATACCTTGCCCAATCTGAACTATTTTACAGTATTCCCTTATCATAGCTTTGCTACCAAAGTTCTTCCTTGTATAAAAAGTCTGACAAATGTAATTTCACATAGGCTAGTATAACAGTTAAAAAAGGCAGCTAATACCAGAAGGTCTTCCTACAGATTGCAGAATTTTATCTGAGGAGCATTCACAGAAGCTCTGACACCTTACCACAAGCTGATTTTCTTACATCCACGCTGTAAGAAAAAATAGTTCTAACATGATGTTCCTTTTATCATCCCAGTATGGATTCCCTCTAGATCCTTGTGGGGCTGAGCCTTACTGTAACAAAGGTGCAGAGCTCAATACTCAACTGTTATGAGTTAAAACTCTTTTCAACAAGACAGTTTTTCCTGTCTCACCAATACCTTTCCTAATAAAGGTAAGAAAGAATTTACTATATTGGTTCTCTTTAGAAACTGTCTGCTGTCACTGGTTTATTTCATTCAGCAACTTTTCAGTTGAGTAGCTTTTGATATCAATGCAGGGGTGGACATTCTTGTTGCCTTTCATGTCACTTACTAGTGTCAAGTATAGGCAAGCTTTCATTTTCCTGAAACCATCTCTACATGCCTGCTCTTGCTTCTGGATTCCTTCTTGGCAGCTCGTGCCTGCTTCCAGCCATTGGAAGGCTGCATTTTCATACTGGAGCTTTATTTCTTGTTTAGCCAAGTCAGCCTCCTGATAGGTCTTTCTGTGGATCACTCTTGTGCTAGGGGAATGCTGCCCTTAAGGACCTGCCAGCTTTCTAGAGCTCCTTGGCCCTTCAGAGCTGCTTCCCATGAGATGACACCTACTTGTTAACCAATTAACCAGTTAATATTGGCAGCTCTCTTAGACCACACATCAGCATGGAGTGGGGCGTGACAACGGCACCAGCAGTGGTGAGAGCTGTTTCTTTTAATTACTGACAGAGTTTGAGATGGGGCTGGGTCTTCTAATGGAAGAACTAACAAGGTGAGGTGCACTGCTAGACCTTGTATTAACGAATAAAGAAGGTCTGGCTGGGGACATTAAGGTTGGGAATAGCCTTGGAGACAGAGACCACAACAAGGTGGAGTTTAGTATTTTACAAGGAAGAAGCAGGGCAATAAGTAGGATTACAACCCTTGACTTCTGTAGGGCTAACTTTGGACTCTTCAAAGATCTACTTGCAGAAATCGTATGGGCTAAGACTGAAAGGAAAGGGAGCCCAGGAAACCTGGTTAATTTTTAAATACCACTTCCTCCAAGCCAAGATAGGTGCATTCCTTTGAGTAGGAAATCAGGCAGAGGTGGTAAATAACATGCATGGATAAGCAAGGATGTTCTGAAAATAGTCTTGTGGAAGAAAGAAATGTACAGTTCACGGAAAAAGGGACTTGTCACTTGGGAGAACTATAGGGATGTTGTTAGGATATGTAGGAGAGCAACAAGAAAGGCCAAAGGCCTCTTAGAACTTAAACTGGCAAAGGAAGTAAAGGAGAACAAAAAGAGCTTCTTCAAATATATCAGTAGTGAAAGAAAGAATATGGACAATGTGGGAGCCCTGGTAACAAAGTATGCAGAGAAAGCAGCATTGCTGAATAACTTATTTGCTTCAGTCTTTTCTAAGACCAGTCCTTACGAGCTTCAGACCCTGGATATAGGAGAGGAAGCCTGGAAGAGGGAAAACACTCCACTAGTCAGTGCAGAGTGGGTCAGAGATCAGTTATGTAAATTGAATGTACACAAATCCATGGGCCCTGATGACATGCACTCAAGAGTGCTGAGAGAGCTGGCTGATATTACCGCCTTGCCACTCTCCATCATTTTTGAAAGATCATGGCAAGCAGGAGAGGTGCCTGAGGACTTGAGTAATGCCAGTGTCACTCCAGTCTTCAAAATGGGCAGGAAGGATGATCCAGGAAACTAGACACCATCTGGAAAAATGATGCAGCCGCTCATTTTGGAGGTCATCTTGAAAAACATGGAAGAGAAGGTTTATCAGGAGTGGTCAGCATGGATTTACCAAGGGGAAGTCATGCTTGACTACTCTGAGTCTTCTATGATGTTGTGACTAAATGGGTAGATGCAGAGTATCTTGACCTTAGCAAGACTTTTTATACAGTCTTCCATGGCATCCTCATGAGCAAGCTCAGGATATGTGGGATAAAAGAATGGATAGTGAGATGGATTAAGAACTGGCTACACAACAGAGCCCAAACAGGGGTGGTCAATGGTGCAGAGTCCAGCTGGAGACCTGTAACTAGTGGAGTCCCTCAGGGATCAGTGCTGGGTCCAGTCCTGTTCAACTTCTTTATCAGTGACCTTGATGATGGGACACAGTGTCTTCTCAGCAGGTTTGCTGATGACATGAAGCTGGGAGAACTGGCTGATTCACTGGAAGGCTGACCAGCCATTCAGTGAGATTTGGACAGGCTGGAGAGCTGGGCAAAGAGGAACCTAATGAGATTCAACAAGAGCAAGTGCAGAGTCCTGCACCTGGGAAGGAACAACAAAATGCACCAGTACAGGCCAGGAGGTGATCTGCTAGAGAGCAGCTCTGTGGATAAGGACTCTGGAGTCCTGGTAGACAACAAGCTATCCATGGGACAACAATGTGCCCTTGTGGCCAAGAAGGCCACTGGTATCCTGGGGTACACTAGGAGAAGTGTGTCCAGCAGATCAAGAGAGGTTCTCCTCCCCCTCTACTCGGCCCTGGTGAGACTTCACTTGGGAGTATTGTTTCCAGTTCTGGGCTCCCCAGTTCAAGAGGGACAGGGACCTACTTGAGAGAGTCCAATGGAGGCTACGAGGATGATTAAGGGACTGAAACACCTGCCTGACAAGGAAAGGCTGAGAGAGCTGGGGCTTCTCAGTCTAGAGAGGAGAAGGCTAAGGGGGATGTAACTAATGTCTTGAAGGCATCAAGAAAGCAGGAACAAGCTATTTTCACTTCTGCCCTGTGATAGGATGAGGGGCAACAGATTCAAACTTGAGCACAGGAAGTTCCACCACAACATGAGGAAGAACTTCTTTACTGTGAGGGTTACAGAGCACTGGAATAGGCTCCTCAGAGAGGTTGTGGAGTCTTCCTTTCCTGGAGACTTTCAAGACCTGTCTGGATGCCTTTCTGAGTGATCTGCCCTAGTTTTTTTGGTCCTGCTCTGGCAGGGGGGGGTGGACTTGATGATCTTCATAGGTCCCTTCCAACCCCATACATTCTGTGATTCTGTAAATCCAAGTATGCTCACCTGAACTCCAGCATCTGTATTTGCCTTCCTTGCTTCCTACAGGATGCTTAATGTCACTACTTCATGAGCATTACAGCAACTACTGCTAATGATCTCCACATCGCGAAACAACTCCTTCCAGTGAACAGAAGATAGAGCTGTACATCACCCATGGTTGACCCATCCTATCCAAAAATTTCTCTGACACCACCAAGAAATTACTTGGAGCACTTTGATCAATAGCATCATCTGTGTTACTGATCCATGATGTAAATACAATGTGGTCATACTCTTTTCTGAAAGAGTAAGGGCCACGCCTCAGAATGACAGGCTGTAGGAAAATGCTGCACCTGAAGAAAAGTTTGTGGCAAGTTTTTTTTTTCAAGCTTCTGTAACTTGAGCCTGGAGAATGATCAGTTTTTACAGCAAGAGCCAGGAAATTGTGGCCTAAAGACATGTTAGACAGTTAACACAAACTTTCAAACTACACTTAATCACTAGCATATCACAGATGAAAAGACAGGTAAAGTAAGAGATGGCAGGCAGCCTATCCCTTAGCAAAAAAACAGCTCTTGGACATTTTTTCTTCAACATGCCAGGATTTCCTCAAGACTACTGTGAGATTCCAAGGTGACATGACCATATATGTATGTGTGGATGGAATGCAAACGTCCATGGAAGGAGAAAGATAAATACAGTTGGGCAAAGGGACTGGCAGTGTATTTTCTCCTGCCTGGTGAAGTTCCTCCAGTCCTAGCAGCCAAATTACAAAGATGAGAAAGGAAAAGTTGTGCACATGTACAGCTTTATGGTTTTACATGCTTTCCCAAACAGTAGAAACAGACACACTACAGCAAATGCCCACGTGAGATGCCCAGCTGCAGCTGGGATTAGGCTGGCATGGTTTGACATTGCCAGGAAGTCCCCACTGCAGTCTTACTCAGCTCCCTGCTTGTCTGTATTCCTTGCCACAGGCCATGCAAGAGGTGCTGCCTTTTGAGCTTCAGGAAAAGGTGTCTCCGAAAAAGATCAGTTAAAAAACCTCATCATCTGACCTTCAAAATTCCCAGACTAAATTCTACAAATCTACAAAGATAATAGTTTTAAAGAGCTTTTTATTGTTCAATTACACACTCATACAGAGGCACACACACATATACCTCTCTTTGCTATTAATTTAATTTTTAATTTTGCTATTAATTTTGCATAATTGCCTCTCTTCTTATTCACTAACACAGAAGCTTATGATCAATCCTTGATTTAATTTTTGTAAATTTAATGATTCAAACACAAGGATTTTTAGCTTTTTCTGTCCTTCCTAAGTAAAATCAGAAGCTTCTAAAGCCTCAGACTTTCTTGTCACTTTTCCAGAAGTTGTGTTAGATCAGAAACAATTGAGACACTTATTCTCCTGATATAAAAAGTCAAGCCAATATCTACTTCCTGTTTCTGCTTCTTCTAATGTCTTCAGATCAACTCCCTTTCTTGGTATCATCATTCAAACCAACCCACTATCAGCAAAAAGCATAAACACATCAGATTTGCCAAGCCAAAGTGAAACTATCAATAATCATCAATACCAGGCAGTAGCAGAGGCTTAAAAGAAAGTGTAAGAAGCTACATTAGAATGGAGTGACTCTTCCTCTGGTGCATTGTATTTTCTTCTGTCAGTGAACAGCAGTGTGTGGGTTGAGTTGGCAAAGCTCCTGAATCAGTGTTTTAGCCAGCTGGCAATCAACTGAAAAGAGGATTAGTATTCATTAAAGGGGAACTTTGCAAACTCAGTGCAAGCTCTTTCCACTCACCTACTCTTTTCACTCCCGATGAAGAACCAAGACAATCATGCATGGGAAAGCAACAAGATACTACTTACTGAAGCACACTCTGCCAGAACTGGGAGGAGATTCCTCACTACCTAAGCAGAGTCATGTAATTGGAAATTTCCTGCATGCCAGCATGGCCAAAGTAGGTGAGGGATATCTAGCACAATTTTTAGATTATTTGCTTAAACTCTGAGGTTTTTAGTATAGCCAAACAAAAAAAAAAGTGTGTCCCAGTTCCCTGAAAATGTGTTCTGTGGATTAGAGGGGAGAAGGAACACTGATTCAATTGCCTGCTTTATGCATCCATGACACACTGTCCTACTGCAAAAGGGAAAGGGAAAAGGCAGTTACCTCCCCCAAAAATATAGAGGGGACATTAAAATAGCTGTTTCAGCTAACTGGGTGAGAAAGAGTCATGAACATAATCCATTGTTTCCTAATAAAAAAGTAGGTTTTCTAGTGAAAAATCAGCAAAAGACTAATTTCAAGGATTTGGGTTGGACCTCCCTGAACCTGACCTGGTCAGTTATGCTTGGAAGTGTCTGGGGTTAATTTTTCTTAATATGTCTTTCCTTCAGGACACTGACTAAACTTGAGATGAGAGTCACTGACCAGAGAACCCTATTGCAAATAAAACTGAAAATTTGATCCCTATTAGAAGACATGGAAGATTTTTACAGCACATACAGTTCTGTTGATAGTTGAACTTCAGGGACACAGCTTCAGGTATATGAAAACATGACTTATTTTTGTATTAATCTTTTTTATCCATTCAAATTTCAGTCAACACAGTGATATTCGTAGAAGAGAAAAAAAAGAACATAAGAGAGGAAAGAGTTATCAAAGACACTCTCACAAGTTTCCTCCTTTTCAGACTGCTGCTGCTTCTACTAACAGAGATCCTTGTGGCCCACTGCTGTGTGCTCTCTTTCCTATCCCAATTCTCTT